TACCTCTCCCCCGGCGCGTATTTCTACGCCGAGGAGCAAGAGTACCTGCAAGCCTATGAAGATGTCTTGGAGAGATACAAAGGTAGGGCAGCGCTCCTTGTGCCACCGCAGCCGCCCGGGTGGCAGCTCGCCCCGCCGGGTGTGGCGGCTGCGGACCCAGGAGGCTCTGGCGCTGGCGGCCAGGTGGGGACATTGGTGGCCCCGAGTTGGGTTGATCTGGAGGCGGCGGACGTGGGCGGCTTCTGCGATAAATAGAAATACCGTGTCACCTCACCAGTGGGTGACACGCTCTCTCGTGTGTTTAAAAGTCTGTTTTTCAAGTGCAGTGCGGGCACAGTGGTTTACGTCTCGATGTGCATTCGTATTTAAAGCTTCGGTTTATTTTTACCTTTTTATTTATTTATTTATTTATTTTTATTAATTTACTTTTTTTTTGGTAGTCGAGCAAAGAATGAGCTTAGTTCCTGTAGCACCTGCGTTTTCTCATCAGATACAGAAAAATAAGGATAAAACCACGTTTATCGTAACAATGATACGCATAGCTAAATTCATCTTGCTAGAAATGTAAATTACATTGATTTATTAAATGCATCAGAATGGAAGGAGTGGTTTGGATGATTCATTGCTGTTTTTCAATACATTTGCTAGTACTAAATCTGAAAAAGCTTATCAAAAGTGTTACAGGACTGATTTTAATTCAAGTGCGAAAGGGATGGAGTTAACTGTTTAGACTGAATCTTCGTCCCTGAAATAGTCTTTACAGCATGTCACAGCATATGCTGATATTTGCAGTGCTGAGTCCTATTGTAATGTTAGAGAATGAGGTAGGTTAGATTTCATGTCTGATTTTTTTTTCAGCTGTATGTTTCCAGTCAGTTCTGAAGATTTTTGTTAAATGATTTCCACTGATGGGAATGGGAGTGGCATAGTTTAAGACAGCTTGATTTGAAGATCCTGATAACTGATTTTACTTATTCCAGGTTGCTAGTGGTAATATTTTGAAAAATAAACCCTCTACACATGGTTATTTTGACTATGACAACTTGCCAGATCTGAGTTTACTTTATACCGATGTCACTTGCAATTTCATGTGTCATTAACAGTATTGACTAATGACTCCTTTGTGTCTGTTGCCCGTTGTGTCAATGCAGCTATGGAGCATGTGCACTGTTTCCGTACTGAAATGCATTAGGACATTTTAGTTGAGAGAAATAATTACCATTTGTTCATTACCCTCATCTTCAAAAGCACATCTTCATTCCATTCTCCCCTATTTCTTAGGTCATCAGTTTATATGTAGCTGAACTGATTTTTTGCAGAATTTTAGATCTAATGGACTGTTTACTTTGTAAATAAGCACTGAGAAAACTTGTTTTTCTGTTCTGGTTCGAACCCAAAGCACTGCTATTATGCTTTGGATTACCTTTGATTTCTTGCTTAAAAACCTGGGAAAGAGATTAAGCCTCATTTCCCCTATTTCAAGGGAGCTTTATCAGGAAAAGGGCTGAAAGGTTTAGTTTTCAGTGTTGGGGAACAAAAGGATTTTAGTTAAACTCCAAAAACTAATTTACATATCTGTAAGAAATAAGCACATTCTGAAAGTATTTGAGTATATAATGTTATGGTGGTAATATTGAGTCCATTCACACGCTATTTTCAGTGACAGCTAAATCCTGAAATTATTTGGAAGGATCTAGTTTCTGTTGTCTTAGTTTTCCGTGTCATATTTGGTATATTGGTGTGCTGTGTTTTGCTATTCAAGGTATACTTTATTCAACCATTTGGAGCAGAGGTAAAGATTTGGACTTGTTTTAATTAGGATATATTGGAAACCTGGAAAACACATTATTTTTTAAAATGTGTTTCCAAGCCAGTCATGATTTCCCATTCGAGTCCCAGTAGTATGACTTCACTACAGCGATTGTTGTTCTGATGACTTGCTATGGGAGCTGATCTAATCAGAAAAGAATTGCTACAATACAGGCTTTGAAGAGGGAGTGCCATTTCTCTGAATTTCTCATTTTTGTAAACACCTATTTTAGTAACTTTTTTAATTGAATGCAGATCATGTTGACTTTATAAGATGAGCTCCAATCTATAATTTTAATGCTGATAGTTCTTTTTTCTTTTTCTTTTTTTTTTTCCGTGTTACAGTCTGCAGAACACTCTCATACTCATTTAGGGTATTATCAGGGTGCCAGATTATCTATGCCCCAGCTGTTGAGTACTGTAACTAGCAGAGTCAGCTGTACAAAATTCATTGCCTGTCTTGGAAGTCTTGGGATCATGTGATGCTGCATCATTAAGATGTTGATTTAGGAAGATAAAAGCTGCCCTTTTCAGACGTAGAAAAGTGAAATTTTACTTTTCATCCTTTTCTGCAGCCAAAGTAGGCTGCAATCTTGAAGACCTTGCAATGCCAAGTACCTTGTTGCTTTAACAGTTAAAAGCAGGATATTTGTGTGTCTCGAAATTCTGTCTGCTGATCTTATGACAGTAAATAATTAGGCAACTGTTTGCTAAATCTGAGATAGCACAGAAGTGCTGTTTGCTATGGGAGAAGAGAGTGTTATTTTCTGATTCCTGGTCCACTCAGTTGCTGGTTGTCAATGTTTTATTTATTTTTCATTGATTCATGTAGTAAATATTTGACAGTATTTATGAAGTATTTTGGTGGAGAAAAGAAGTCGTGTTATCTCAGATGATTTAGAAATCCTGTTGAATCAAGCTACTTATTCAGGGAAAAAAAAAAAAAGCTCCTTTATTGGTAGCACCTTGAAGCATTCAAAGCCAAAGCCTTTATTGTGAGAGTGGCAATAAAACATCTAGCGAAATATGTAAAACGCTTCAGATAAACTATACATCTTGTTTGTGACTGAACAGGAAGATGAGAAATTGTACAAATATTTGTTATTATAACTAAAGGTTTGACTTTATCTCAAACTATATTTGACTCTAGGAGGTTGTAAAGAACTTAACTTACAAAGCAGCAAGAATAACTATCTCACCATTGCCTGGGAACAAAATTAATAAAATTGTTAGCTGCAGCCCTCTTGATAAGTAAGAAAATGTCCAATAGTATTTCATATACATTTAATTGTTAAAACATTAAATGCCACCTCTATCTAATGACATAACTATGCATTGTTCCATACCATCATTATTTGAGCATTAAATATTTGAAGATTACCATTTTAAGCTGTAAATGCAGTATTTTCATTAGATTTCCTCTGCTATAAATCTGAAGTAATACACTGGCAATGAACTTATATATATCATCCCTCTGAAATGGTTAGTTAATTTCAATAAAAGTTCTTAATATATTTTTCAGTTGAGGTAGTAAACATTTATTTGAATAGCAATTGCAACAATCTTCTTTTTGCTGCAACATTTTGAACAATTAGGTAACTAAGTTGTCTCCCTTGACATCGTTATTGATATGGGCATATCTGTTAATATCTGTGTGCTTGTGGTATCTGAAAAAGAGCTAATTCATTGAGTTAAATGTTGAATACATTACAGTTATTCAATAATGTTCTTACAATCATGTAAGCTCTAAAAGTTTAAAATATATAGGGTTATCTGGCCATGCAGACCTTTTAAGGCTGTAGATTTATATATCTACATCTATAGGAAACAGATCTGTTAGGAAATTAAGCTTGACGTGACTGCCCATGAAAAACACAACCTTGCGGTTCAGGGACATCACTAAATTGTTGTTAATGCTAGGAAAGGTATCACATGAATATTTTGTTTGGATCAGGTGCCTGATTAGGGCTTCCTTTGGGTACTTTGGGCTCACTGCATAGCCCCTGTCTCTGTAGGAAGGAGGGGCAAGTCTGGGTCTGGGGATAGCAAAACTTGGGTTGGGTTCTTTAAACTTGGGTACACTGTGTTTCACTATTGGCATTGCTCTCTTGCTTTAAAAAGATCTGTAATACTACACATTCAGCTGAAGACAGCAAACAGCTCTGGTTCTGTATTCTGAGAACAATGACGCTGGAGATGGACGAGAGCTAGCGGGTCATCTGATGCATTTTATTGCCTGTGTAGGGCTCAGAAGCAATGTAGTTTTTTCTAATGATTGATTGATGGTAGTGTCAAGTAAAGCTGTTCTGGCATTGTTTGGGTACAGTTTTTGAATTAAGATAAAAAACAATAGATGCCTGTCAGGCAGCTCCTTTGAGCTGAATTCAGGAAGGGAGCATTCTCACAGAATGGTTTTTGTACATCTAGAAATGAACTGCTGCTGTATTTTAGGAATTTGGAGGGTCTTACATGTGTTCAGTATCAGACTTGGTCCAGAGATATTCTTCTCCAGAGGTGGCTTCCTAGAGCAAAAGACAGAAGGGGCCCTGACAGGTGCTCCTGGGTTCAGAATCTGTGAATTTCTAAATTTCCTCATTTATGCTTTAAAGTTAGTGACCTGAATTTTCAGTCAGCAGAAATCTTGCTCTTTGGGCTCTTAGCTGTGAACTACTTGGATCTCCTGCTTCAGGGCTTCTGACTGTGAACATAGAAGGAAATCCTGATTGATTAGGTGCTTTTAATTTCTTTTCCTTCTTTGACATAACAAAACCTGATGCCAGATATGTGTTAGTTTTGCAAGGAATTTCCACCGTGGATGGTGTTCTCTGACTTCTTTAAGGTGCTGGTAGTAACTAGCCTTGGAACTGATCACTTTTTTTTTTTTTTCAAATGGGAAAGTCCTTTTTGCTGATTAGTGGAGGGCACGTGTGGATTATCCAGCTGCATGTCACCTAATCCTTTCTTTGCCACCATGCAAATCTTCAGCAATAAGACACTGTTTCCTATGTTCCTAGTACATTTCCTACAGCAGGTTAGCCTCCTGGGAAGAAAGGATTTTAGCCAACAGAAAATGTCTTCAATTAGAGATGAAAGCATAATGGCTCTTGTGCTGCCTGAAGTCAACCAAAATTAATGGACAACTTAGGCTACATAAAAATATAAAACCTGCAGTCTTACTCTGTTTCAACATCCTCTTTATTTAAGCAGAAAGTTTTAACTTTCAAAGTGCTTGGAGATGGGATATCTTGCTGGGTGCATTTCATCCTAAATAAG